CTTCAATCTGAGATCACCGGGAACACACATTTAGTAAAAGAACCTGAGTTCATGTTCATCGTGTTGGTGGTGGTGGTACATGCCATTGAGCTGGTCTCCACCAATGGAAACCTCGCTTAAAAAAGAGTGAAATCGAGTCGAAAACCTGCTGGACTGCCCGGCGTTCACACCATCCTTCGGAGGTTTGAGCATCTGTTGCAGCGTGATTACTGTGCCCATCATCTCATCTTATCTCATTAAGGATTTTTCTCTTTTTTGGTAATTCTCTAATTTCCTAAGCACCTTTCTGCATGGATTAATCTTTTCTGATAACCTGTCAGAGATACATGAGATGCAGTTTAATCTGTTTATTTCTGAAGAGCATTTTGCCTGTACTTCTTACAAGACTTACTTCTGTGTTCTTCTGGTACGTCATGCTAGACTCTGCATTTCGATGACAGTAATTCTTTAACCTTCTTCATTGCCTACCTTTCATATGTATATACAATATATATATTGATTGAAAATACTGTGAGTTTCTTGAGTTGTATCTTATTCCTCAATGTGACATTTTTGCTTGTTCACATTTCTAAGAAGGCGGTTGGCATCTGATTGCCCATGGCACCATGTCTTGTGGTATCTTGACAGGTGCTTCCTTGATTGGTGCCTATGGATCTTAGTAAAGTGAAATCCTCGATCCCTTCAGTTTTGTGATGTTGCTTTCATCATTATTGTGGTGTTGCTTATTGATAGGATTGAATTTTTCTTTCGTTGAGGTGTAATCCATATTAAAGTCTTTGATCTTCCTCAGTGTTTTTGGCCCTCTTCTTTTTTCAGCAAGGCGAGCTCTGTAAACTGTAATTCCACGTTGTTAATGGGTCATCTGCTAAGTCTGATGCCACATTTTTCTTCATACAGTTCAGTGTCTCCGATTATCTGCTATGCAGACAGCTAGCTATGATAAAAGGTACCACTTTAATGCACACTTTGCCTAATTTCCATCCCTGTGTATTCCTTTATTCTGTTAGAATGGCCGCCTCTTGCTTTATGAGAGGAGTTCAAAGTGAAGGAATAATCTGAATGAAAAGAAAACAGATTTTTTTCTGTGAAATTTTTGAAGCCCCTCATATTTACAGATTCCTCTTAATTTCAGTTGCATGTTCTGGAGTTGCCCATTTTGCTAGGTTAACGTGTGTTGAAAGCCAAGGTCACTTGGCTTTTTGTCTTTGGGAAAAAAGCTGGCAAATTTCTTCCAAGTGGTTTTTCACCCCAACAAAGGGATCCACACATACAAGATAGCAAAAGACAGTATGAGAGACACAGCAAAGATTTAATAAACAAAGTATGCTTCAATCTCGAAGTGAGTAAACTCACGAATTAAGGAAGCAGTCTGTCTAGGGCTATGGCATTGGATTTTATGGTGGTTGGGTGGTGGCACCCTATTGCCTCAGCATAGCCCCTATCCTACTTTCTCATTGGCCCATATTTTCGCATCCTGTTTGTTATTCCAGTGCAATGATTGGTCTCATAATCCGTAACTTGAGTACCATTATCCTGTGGGGCGGTGTTAGTCAATGAGTTATTGCCCTACAGAATAGATCGCATATTGCAATTTGGAATGGGTCATCCAGACCGATAGCTAATCCTGATACTTATCCAGAATGATTCACACAATTGAATGCTTTTCCATAATCAATAAAACAGGTAAATATCTATTTTGTGTTTTCAATGAACATCCATCTGAAGCCAGCAATTATTTTCCTCATTCCTTGTGCTTTCCTAAATCCATCTTGGATTTCTGGAAGTTGTCTGTCAAAATTATTTTTGCAAAATTTACTCTTATGTGATGTTATTATAATACTAATTATTGGAACCGTTTTAAAAATAATACCTTAAAAACCTTCTTTTAATACAGTCAGCTCTTGCTCATATACTAAGCTCCAAACAGTTGAATGTGCAGTGACTCTGACAATTTCTTTCATTATTTAAAGCTTTTTTGTGTTGCTAATACTTTGCCTTTGTTGTGATACAGTGCAATCACGTTGGTTCTTTTTCTTGGGGACCATCTGTGCACCAGTAGGATCTTTTTCCATCCTCAAAATTGTTATATCTGAGCCCATTGTTGCAGCCATTATGTCAATCCATCCCTTTGAGGGTCTTCACCTTTTTCATTACCCCTTCACTTTGGCAAGCATGATTGTCTTTCCTGACAACATATGAAAAGTGTATTAGAAGAATCCTTGCCATCCTTGCTTCTAAGAAGCATCTCTGTTGTACCTCTTCTTAGACAGATGTGTTGCTTTTTCTGGAAGTGCACAATGCTTCCAATATTCCTGATCAACACCAGAGTTCAAAATGATGAATTATTCCATTTTCCTCATTCATTGCCCAACTCTTGTCTGTATATGAGGCGATTTAAAATACCATGCTATGAGTCAGGAACACTTTAATCTCCACAGTGGCACCCTTGCTCTTCAATGCTTTAAAGAGGTTTTGCGTTGGAGATTTGCCTTTAATTTCTTCTCTGCTGCTCCCATGAGCACTGATTATGAGTCCAACTGAATTGAAATTCTTGGCAAATTCAATCATTTCTGTTTATCACGGTGTTATAATGGGTTCAATGTTAGGATTCTGGTTTTCTTTATATCAAATTGCAGTCCATACTGAAGTCTGCAGTCTTCAAATAAAAATGGTGGTTGGATACAACCATAACACACACTTAATTTGATTTGAAACCATGCAATATCTGGTTGGTCTCTTTGAGAGTCTGCCTCTAGATCCAGGACATATTTCACATGAACGTGACGACATGTTTGGGAATTCACTTTCTTTTGTAATGTTATCCATATTTTACTCTGATCTATTTAATCAAATGCTGTTGCATAAAACACATGTGAACATCTTTGTGGTATTTTCCACTTTCATTCAAGGTCAGTCTAGCATTAGGATTGATAATCCCTTGTTCCACACTCTATTCTGAATCCAACTAGAATTTCTGGCAGCTCTCTGTCGATGTACTTCTGCAACCATTGTAAAATTATATGCAGCAAATTGTATTTGCTTGTGATATTAATGTTAGTATGGGATGATCTCCACATGTCTGGGTCACCTCTCTTTAGAAGGGGAGCAAACATGGGTCTCTTCCAACAGGTTGTCAACCTGCTGCAGATATGAGGACGTGCTTCCAGGATCCTTGTTATTTGTTCATACTTTCAGTGTGCCTTCAAAGCATGAACTGAGTGTGACAGTGTTCTAAAGTAACTATTTTATCTTTAAATTTAAGGGTCGTGACTTGTAATGCCAAGGCCTGTTCCCTAAGATGTGATTGTTGGTTTGAAGTGAAAGATGAAATATAGTATAACAATGCTGGGTTGATCCAGATAAAGCTTGGGGGCAACCAGTTCTGAATTGGATTCTCACTCCAACCCTCTAGTAACAGCATGCCATTTAGTGAGATGATTCATGTGTAGGATTCTGGTGAGCACTTTCTGAATTAGTAGATGACAAATGTGTGATATGGGAAATGGCACAACTAGGTGCTACACAAGTCCAAGTCCCCTTTTCTCTATTCTATCAGAGACAAAATGTGGTAACAATTTACATAAAGAAGAAATGATTATTCTTTCTAGGTAATATGAATGTGTAAAATACACTATATTTAGATTTCTCTAAATATAGTAAACTAAGTTACAAAGAGCATCAGCCACAATAAAATTAATTAATTTGTTGAGTGTGTGTTTTGTGCTAATACAGTTATAAACAATATATTTCTCTCTATTAGTACTTTTAGATAAGTGTTTTGTCCCCACCTTTAATGTTTGTTTGTGTACCATGTACCCTGCCCCTGTATATTTTCAGAGCCCTAGTGTAATATTTTTTACATGTTGCTGTAAATAAAATCAGTATAGTATACTTCCAAAAATATAGGCATTGTGGTCAATTCATTGGTAAACAAAATTAGAAAGCTCATATTATTTTAGTAAAAAGTATGGGAACTCATTTAATCCTCCTATACCCACAAATACTAATAAGTTCTACCTTTTTAGAGATGAATAAAACTGAAACAAAAGCCAAATTAGGAATTGAAAGAATTTATATATTAAATATTGATATCTCAAAACTCCTCTCATTCTTGAGATATAATCTATATTTACCAACATAAATCTCATGACACACATATGGTCATTGATTTATTCTTATCTACATCTTCCAACTGGGTGGGGAAGCAACTCTGGTTTTCAGTGTTGACCTTCCACCTCCGTCTAAGAAGCAGAAAGGCAAAGGAAGCGGTCCTGTTTGAGGGTGAGGACTTTTGGGGAAGCATGTTATGTGGCCAGCTGTTGCTGTGCCTGCTGGGAAACCATGGATATTGGAGGGGAGAAGTAGAGGACACACAGAAAAAAAATATATTTTCAGCATATTTTATGTGGTGATACTCCATTGTCTACAAAGTAATTAGCTGAAAGTAAAAAAAAATATTATATCCACATAAGTAATATATACCGAGTTGTTTTAAGAAGCATGATGTGATACACACAGGTTCTCCCATTTCAAAGCCTCTTGATAGATTTTATAATGCTTAGTTACCCTATTTTCCAGCATCACTTCTTTGGTGTCATTTTTCAGTTTTTTCATACTTTAGGGAAATCTTTGTTTAAGATTATTTCTTCCAGGTTTGGGTCTAGTAAGTACGCAATACTTTCAGACCATGAAGACCCCTACCCGAGTTGGAAAGAGCATGAAGTCTTTGCGATCTCATAATACTTTTGCTCTTGCCCTTGTGATGAGCTAGATATGTGTCTCAGATTTGAGAACTTGTATTACTTGAATATACTTAGGCATTAGTTATATTTTATCTCCTGGCTGCGTGAAACATTAGCATGTCAGAGAAAGACATTTTCCTTCATGAAAGTGTTTTATGAAGGGTTTTCTCTCCCTGGCGTCCTTCCTGATGACCTGATACTATGTCACATTACATCGAATTGAGACACAGACTGAATTCTTCTTTCTCTTCTTGACAGCATGGGGTAATCTTGGAAATGTTTTGAAGAGTCAGAGCAAAATGTCGGAAGCTGAAACCGCCTATAGGAATGCCTTGTACTACCGCAGCAACATGGCGGACATGCTTTATAACTTGTGAGTATGTGCAGCTTTCTCTGGTTGGGTTCATCTTTGAAACCTGCGGTGAAAGGGACTGTTGATTTAACTGCTGGAAATTGAGGCACAGATTGCAGTTTCCTGCGGTAGTCTTTTCATTCATTATGCCTTAGAAATGATCAAGTGGATGGTATTTGTGATTTTTACATTTTGTGCCACATCATTGACGTTCATGAGTATTGATGTATCATCACTGATTTTTTTTAAGTACTCTATCACTTAACATACAAATTAGTTTAAATTAGTTTAAGTTTGTTTCATTAATATTTAGATAGGTTCATAAAATGAAATTGTTATACTCACATATGATTTGTATAGATAACACATTGATTATTAATAATCACAGAATTATTTCCTATTTAAAATATGATTATGTCCAAGTATACATTCCACAAAAAGATCATGGTTATTTTTTACCCTCCCAAAATCTACTGACATTTATAAGCAAAGTTGAGATAATGAAGAATAATCATGTGTGTTTAGTTCAAAAATTCCCTCTGGGAATTACTTGTCCTTTCGTGAATGGAAATCCCTGTGGGTATCAGTGATGTGTGAATATAAATATAATTTAAACTGAATTTTTTTCAGTTAGATTTAAAAATATATATATATTTTTTAAGAAATAGAAAACTTGCTCAAATTTGCTTCAGGAATGAGAATTGGCCGAGTCTTACAAATGAGAGTGCCTGTGGCTGCGTACCTGCAGGTACAGTTAGATCCAGCCGCTGGAGGACAATCTAGGAAGCTCTCTCCGTTTTATGGCACAAGTCTGTCCTTAGGTGCTCTTCATTTTTGTGAGACCCTGTAGTTAACTTGGGTAAGATGGTCACTAGTACTGTTATGCATACAATATGCAGATTCTTCTCAGTATCCAAAGGAAAGAGACTGATTTTGTATTGAGGTCTACAGTTAATCTAGAAAAGATCTGTGCTCCCCTGAGGATCATTGTTCTCTTAAGTATGAAACACTAAGCAATGTCACAGAGGTCATGAGGCAACACATTCAATCGCACCTGCAGAATTTGAAGAGAATGAAAAAGATGTTTCCTTAAGAAAAAGGATTGATCTCTGGCGAAGTGAAATGTCTACTGCTGTGTTGAATGAATATTGTATAACAGTGACAGTATCGGAGTAATTTTCCAAGTTTAAGAGCATTAGTTACAAGAGCATTGTAGAAAGTTGAACTGCTCCAGTGGGATCTGCAAGCTGTGAATGTTCAGACACATCTCTCTGCTAGTGCCACACAGGGACCTCATTTAGTGTTTATAGTCCATTATTTCTTGATGGTTTCACCTAAAAACACCCATATAAACTACTATAAATAAAACAATAAACAAATATTTGCATATATGAAAGCAAAAGCAGACAGGACAAGTTTAGGTCAATTCCCTGTTTGTATATTTACCTTGTCTTTAACTCCCTAGACTTTAATGTAACACTAGCCTAGTGGCTAGTGGCATAAGTTACATCAGGATATATGTTCTGCATTGTTTTTTGTTTTCTTTTAACTATAGATGCAAAATATTTATTGTTTTGCCTTTAACTATTGTACTCCTTCCAGTGTCTTCCTTTGCTTTATTTTTTGCTGAATTTCCCCTTATCAACATTGCCTTCCCCTTCCCCTAAGTTAATATATAGCTAAGGCAAATGGAAGACATGAGGAAGTAACAGAACTGATCAAAGAATGTCAAAGGTCAGCTTGAGAAGACATAGTAAAACATTACAAGGAAATAGTCAAAGATCTGGAGTTGTTAGAAAACAAACAAAACAAACGACATGCTCAGCGTGTATCAAGCTGAAAGAACTGAGTAAAACATTCAGGCCTCAAATTGCAATCTTAGAAGGGGAGCGTCTGTGGACAAAATATTGAATGATCTAGGAGGCATCCGATGAAGATTCAAGAATACAGAGTCACTAGATCAAAATGGGCTAGTCAATATTCCTTCATCAAGAACCAGTGGTATTGAGGGAAGAAGTCCAAGAAGTAATGAAGGCATTAATCATCACTCAACAGTTCTGGTTTTTAAACAACTTGCTTGAATCAGACTTCTGTTGCTGAATTCCTTGCAATTTTAGGAGCTTGGGTTTAAGAGTAATAGACCCCAGGCAATGAGATTTGATCAAGGAGGAGAGTTAGGTCGTAAAATTCTCTTTTAAGTAGCGTTAAGTCACCATTTTGCACAGGACATCAGAGATATTGTATATTTTGGGTGGCCAAACCCTGTTTTATAGGGAGTGAAAATTAATGTAGAGGGTACATTAATGAGAGAAAGGAGCACCGTGGGGCTGTAACTAGGGGCACAAATCTAATCAGAGTGTGATTAAACTATTCCTACATTCATGGCCAGGTTTGGCAAACCCTTAGGAAAGGTGAGGATAAGGGTCAGAGATTGGAGACTAGAAGTGGTAGGAGAGCCTGACGTGCACCGAGCCATTCCTTGAGTTCTGTTCAAAGGAAGGCATTGAGATCAGAAACAGAGTTTGGCCCACGAGAACCCAGGACAGGCAGAAATGTTAGGGAAAGTAAGCCTTAGCCAAATGGCTAGAGTTCAGGACATGGTTTCTTGCCAAGTTTCATGGATAGGGATGTGTGTGTCTATCTGTGTATATGTATTGAGGATGGGATAAGAGATCCAAAGGATGCCAGGTCAGCAGACTACTGTGTTCTCACTTGAAAGATTTTTAAAAGAAGATCAAACAGGAGTGTCTTGAAAGTGCTTGGCATGCCTGAGAACCAGTGAAAGGAACTGAGCGATTTTTGTGAAATTCCATTGATTTGGGATCTCTAGGGAATTGAATACAGATGCTGGTTAACTGATTTCTAGAATGAAGTAAGGGGGTAGCGAGACTTTTATCTTATTGTCTTCATGTGGTAGGAATAAGGATCGACACTTGTTTTGTACTTTCCTTTGGTTACAGTTGTCAGTTTTCACTAAACAATTAATACACTAATCTTGTAGAAGACCCACAGGGTGCTGAGGAGTATGGAGTACAGGATGAAAGCACTTCTTATTGTGTTCTTCACATCCCTTTCCCTCTTCCGGTGTACACATTTCCCTTGTTATCTGAAAGGAAAGCAAACCAAACTGAACTGCTATCAACTAGATTCTGATTCAGGAGAACTGCCCTTGTGGTATCCACACTGTAACTCTGTACGGGAGTAGAAAGCCCCATCTTTCCACTTTTCTCCTGGAAAACAGCTGGTGGTGAAAGTAGAGCATTTCCGTGAAAAAGTTCATAAAAGACAAAATGGCATAAAAGCAAAAAGGAAATTACCATTAGTTTATATAGTAAACATTTTTGAGCATTATCAGACCCCCAAAATCAACCTACCAAGTCACACCAAATAACACCCCAAACATAAACGCACACTAACATACAGTGCTCACATACTCACTTCCATGCTCTGTGGTTTGATGCGGTGATGCTAAGTATAGTTGCTGAGAAAAATGTTTGGTGGCACCATTCTAGCTGCTTCTGGCACATACTTCCTCTTTAAGGAGGAAGTATTGATCATTGATGTTATTTTTCACCCCCCTATAAAAAGGAAAGATTTTCTTTGCGCCTTTCATTGTTTGTGACAAGTTTTAGCAGAGGTCCGCTGTGAAAGTGGAGAATCAAAGTGAACTTTTGGAGAGCAAGTTACACCAATATATCTTTTCAGGTTTTTAGTTTTATATTTCCCCTTATTCATCACCATTGATTATGAATTTTTCCTGTGTGCAAATGCAGATTAATATTAATTACTGAAGGGCTTCCAAAAGTACTTAGAAATATGGAATTGGCAAAGAACTTTTTTGCAGATTTTTGAAGTCTAATAGAATTACTCCCCTTTGATCTACAGTAAAGTTAATGTTATTGGGGCTGTTCCATAACATTTATCAATAAATGTCCAGTGGGATGATTTTAAAACTGTCTCTTCATTCTCTATTTCCCTATTTACAATTGAAGATGAGTAATTGATCTTATTATTGATTCTGTGTAATATTTTTGTGGGAATTGATCTACTTGTATTTCTTGGCTAATTTTTTATTGGGTGGAATTTTAAAAAAATTGATTTTGGGATTTAAAGTATAATTCACCCATAGCATTATCGACATAAACCATACATTATTTGCTAAATATTTTCTATCAGTATCTTCTTTTCATTTTTTACTTTCTCATGATAACACTTATTACATGTAACTTAAATTTTTATATGGGAAAAAAAGGAATATTTTTGTGTAAAGTCTGAAAATGTAAATATTTATGAATAAGGTAATTTATAGTTGCAGATTAGAGAAGTCATTCCCTATTTCTTCAATCTATTTAGAATTATGTTTGTTTGTTTTGTTTAGACCATTCATCTACCTTGGATTTATTATTACTGTTTTTATTAACTAAAGTTGTCATTTTTCCTATATGCAAACAAATATTTATATTTAATTTATTGAATTTGTAGCATTTACCTAGAGTAAATCCTTATATATACACAGATATGCAAATATGTTTTTATTTACTACTATTTCAATTGCTTTTATATTTTAAAATACTACTCTACGATTAGTTACTTCTTTTCAAACATTTCTTGATTCCTATTCATTTCCTAACCAATGTAAACTTGAGCAAAGACTTGTAAAGTTGTATTAGAACTTCAGAGTTTTTAATTCTGATTTTATATGTTAAAGGGAAAGAACTGATAAGATGTATACTTAAACTTTCTTTTCCAAATATATGTATTTTCACATTTCTATTTTTAATGTTTCCTTCATTAAAATTTTATATTTTTGTTTACAAAGGTCTCGCTTCTTTGAAATTGATATATTCTTTGCCAATGGAAATTAGAAGCTTTTAGTCTCATTACTTTTCTAAGTGTTTCTTTAGATTTCAATTCTTGAAATATGCCAGATCCATGGGGGGCAGGGGGGGTGTGCTCTCTGTTGTATCTGATTGTTCGTGTAGGTCCTTTCTGGGTGCTCTCAAGTATGTGCCATTTGCTTC